TGTGCGTTGACATTTACACGATGCAGCAAAAAAGTGACGCAAGACAGTAAAATATACTCCACCGTATTATTACGTACAGGAATTTAAGTTTTATCGCAACTTTTCATTGGCTTTGAATCGAATTTGTTCGGAATATTTTCGGTGGAAAAAGGTGATCCGTTTGCGATTGAAAATTGAAACGAATTGAAAAAAAATGCCGAAAATAAAGCGGGAATCACGTCAATTTATCGTGATTAATGAGGAAAAACTCATTAGTGAAGTGGAGAAACGATCCATTCTGTACGATAAAGCATTGAAAGGCTACCGAAAGCCAGCAATTCGAGAAACAGCCTGGCAAGAGGTGGCAGTCGCATTGGAAAGTACTGGTAAATAAAACGGTTTTTTTTTCGAAAACCATTCATATAGCATTTCATGTAGGTTGCGTTGAAGAACACCAAATTTCCAAATGGTAAAGCATCAATTGCAACGGATCGCATCGTTGTTAACATCAAGTCATCGTGAACGTTGCCCTTACGCAGTGGTCCTTACGCATAAAATCACAAGTAAAACAGTTAACGCTCTTGTTTGTTTTTTTCCCTTCTGCAGTCGATGAATGTAAGAAACGTTGGCGATCGCTTCGAGATGCATTCATGAAACAGTACAAATTGTACAGTCGCGGCGATACAAACTCCAAAAAACGATGGCTATTCTATGAACAAATGGAATTTCTCGGTCCATATTTTGACAAGTGAGTTAAATTAAATGCGATTTTATTTGATTCTTTTTCATTTTTTTTATGGTAAAATTTATCTCTACTTTTAGTAACGACGATAAGTATGATGGTGATGACTATATTGAAACAATTAACACAGACGGTGAATCGATCGACAAGAATAGCTTAAATCAAATTGTATGTATAAACAGTGATGGCGAGTATCCGACGCAGATCGAAGTGGACGAATACAATGAGGAACAATTAGAAGAAGATGCTCTCGATACAACGCAATACACAACCGTCACCAGTAAAAAGGGAGAGAATAGCGTTTATTACATAAGCGCACCCACCAGCCATTCGTCCATAAACAACGATTCACAACTTCAATCGCCGACACGTCAACAAACAAAAGTTTTAACACAAACAAATACAAACACCTCGAATAATAATGATCCAGATGAACGATTTTTGCTCAGCTGTTTACCCATTTTGAAACGTTTACCGAACAAAAAGAACGCATTGGCACGCTTGAGAATCCAACAACTGTTATTCGAAATTGAATTCGAGGATTACGAAGTTAGTGGCCAGTAGTATTAAGCCAAAGCGCGCATCAGGGCTATTTTTATTCTCTTTTTCTATGTATATAATCATAGGTATATATAATTTAAATTTTTTGTGTGTCTTCTTGCTGAATAGAAATAAACGAGTCTTTAAACAATTTGAAAACGTATGATTTAGCGAAGGTATGCCAGTAAAATCATGAATGACATCAGGATGCTGTCTGATAATTTCACACTTGAACTTCCAACAGCTTCTTTATTGCACTTGTCATCAGAGCACAGAGTACACTTCTCTTGTGGGTTGCAGTTTTTATACTCTTCATCACTTAAGTCAGCAATGCATCCGCGAGTTACATTTCCATCTACAAAATAGGAAATTGGCTTAATAGTTGATATTTCTCCCATGTGCGAAGTTCGTTAATATACTTTTGACGTTTGTGTAGCATCCTCTTTTGTCGAATGGATAAGGTGATTTCACACATTGACTAATATAATCATCAAGTTTTGAAGTCTTAGCGCAACGGCCATTGACATCGCTTATGCAACGCACACACCAACTGTACCGTGCATTTTTATAATTACAATTTGATCCAGAACATGTGGTACATCCATCTTCCTCCTTACACCAATCATCCTCTTTGTTGGCATCCAAAGTGCAGCCACGTTTCACTTCTGTGCTGCCTGTAATTTCAGATAATTTAACCAAATAAGGATTTGATGAGAAGAAAATATAAAGTTCTCCATGATGATTCTTAGCGCTTCATATGAGGCAGCTCCTCTTTATGTAAGTGCTACTCTGAAAGTGATCTGGCTCATTTTGGTTATGTAATTTCAACACACTTCCAATTTTTTTTACTGATAGAAGATAGTCCAAATCCATCAAAACAAAAAATCTAGAATTTTTTTAGCTTCAGCGATAGCAATTCGTTACAAAATAATTACCACTAATCGAATGTGTGAAACAGGTTTCCTCGTCGCCAAATACAACCGGATTTTTACATGCCATGGTTTGATTTGAAAATCTCAAACCAAATGCACACTCTTCCGAATCAGTGCAATGCATACAGGATAGTTTTGGTTGTACGAATTTTGGTTGCTTGTTACAGCCACTTCTGTCGCATTTGACGCACGATCCATTTTTGTGTTCATTGACCAGTTCACACAATAATCGTTGCTCGGTTGCATCACTTAATACAAAAACAAGAATATGATTTTAAGAATTCACACGGATTGAACGCAAGACACTAACCAACCTTAGGCAGCCACGGAACACTTTTTTATCTAGAAAAAATTAAATATTCGAATTTATTCGCCGGTTCATTGAAAAAATCAAACTTATGCTTCCGTTCAATATTTGCTATGGCAAAAATCGTTTACCTGGCCCTATATACGTAAAGCATTGATCATGAACGGATGCAATACTGCATGATTCTGGTTCTAAAGCGTTTTTCGTCATATCACATTTCTTATCATCTCCAGTGCATTGGAAGCATTGCAGAATGTTGGCTGGATAAACACCACCATTGCATTTATCTCCTTGGCAAAGTTGGAATTGATTCGAAAATAGTTGTTCAAATGTTCGGTGTTGCTCAGCACATTGACGATGAATGTAACCGATTCGATCGATTCCAGTTACACATTTACTATAGTACCATTTGCATACTTCGGTATTTGCCAAGCGAACGTTTCTTGCACATAATGGATCACATTGACTGTTGCAACTGTAGCACTCCTGGAATTCAGTTTTTGAATTACAATCTGTTGCTCTGCAACTTTTGCAAGTATCTGAATTGGCCAGACACTTAGCTGCTTTTTCTGGATTCAAATCTTGAATACATCCTCTCGTCAAGTGATCGCCAACCTAGAATCAAATAAAGATCAGAAATTGAAGAAAACAAAAATCGTATTCAATATTGAAATATCAATTTTATCGTGACAGAAAGAGTAAGGATATTATACTAACAATGCTCAAATAGCATCCCATTGCCTTTGACGGTTCGATGCGATCACAAATTTTTCCCTTAAATGCTTTCGGCTTTGATCGACAATCAGGATCAGTCTTTGAATCACACGCAATGCACGTATCGAAATCATTTACCATTTTTTTGTTGAGCCCAACGATATCTGTTGCTGCATAAGTTGCACATTTATTTCTATCATGTAAGCATTGCGCTCTAATATCCTTATCGACATCATTGAAACAACCTCGTACAACACTTTTTGCCGAGATCAAGGTAAAACATTCGTTTTTATATAAGTCACACACTTTGCTATGCGTTGCGTTGGGTCTGATTGCACAGTTTGAATCTTCCCTTGAATCACACACTAAACATCTCGGTAATGTGGGCTCTGAGTTACACTTTGGTCCTTTGCACGTTCTGAACTCTTCCCATCTATTCGTATGAGACAATATCAAGTCCTTACCGGATAGTTTAGCGACGCAACCTTAAGGAATTGGAAAATATTTGAAAAAATAAATAAACGAAAACTTAATATTTAAGGCAGTACCTCTGACATGCTGTTCGGTATTCCGATTCATATAGTGGAAGCACCCTGCTTCTTTAAGTGATAATGGGCATTGTTTAATGTATGACTCTTCCTTGAGCACTGTCGTCGAATTGCAAGCTGGGTCGTTAGCAGAATCACATACCATACACACCTCCGGTTCAATAATTCTCCCATTGCATCTATTACCAGTGCAAAGATGACAGTCTCGACTTTTGTCGCATTCCTTTGGAGTGACTAAAACGTTATCAGTGCAATTTCGTGTGATAACCCCATTTTCGAAACGAATGTAGCATTGATCCGAATAGTTTGGGCATCGTTGCTCCTTCAAAAAGATAGTGTTATTCTGGCAATCATCGCCATCGATTTCGGACGAACAATCGACACACGTTGTAAAGCTGATTTTGTTGTTACAAGAGTCTCCTAGGCAAGTTTTACAATTGCTATCTGTCGACTGACATTCGCTCAGCTCCATTGGATTCAGACTAGAAGCGCAACCACGTTCGACACTACTGACGTTATCTTGCCGCTGATAGCATCCCAGGCTTTGCACTGCAAATGGACACATCACTCGCATTTTTTCATTTACAAAATGTTTGCATTCAAAGCTGGATGAGCACGCAAGGCAATATTCTCTTCCGATGAATCGTTTATTACAATCCTGGCCGGAGCACTTTTCGCATATGTTTGGATTTTCACAGTCAGCCTTGATATCAATGCCATTTGGTTGTTCTTCTATCCAATCATGCAAACAGCCACGTCGAATCGAGTCAGATGCATGCGTAATGCACAGATCATTGTATTTGCTACACAATCTCGAAACACCAATATAATCGGTCTGATTACTCCAAAGGCAGCGCGAGAAACCTTTTGCATTATTACAATAATTTCCGATACATTTTTTACAATGTTCACTATCTGATTGACATTCGGTACGTGTATCTCCTTCAAGCTCGCTGATACATCCTCGTTCAGCGTAATCTCCTTTGATGGAATGATAACAGCCAGATGATTTAGCTTCTAAAGGACACTGTTTCTGGAAATCACTTCTAATTTTGGTGCATGACAAATTCGAGCTGTCACAAGAATAGCAATAAATTGGATCTAATTTCTCATTACATAACGGTTCAGAACACAATTGATATTTGTTATCGGGTACGTTTTCCGATAAGAATTTTTGTGATAGATCATGTTCAGCGGCATATTCTTCAACGCATCCTCGAATCACCGTATCATTTTCAAGCACTTGAATAAAGCATTGATCATTGTATTTGGCGCAGAATTTTGGTGAAGCTTTTGTATAGTATGGCAAAGGGAGCGGTGTGTATGGTTCATCAGTTACGTAGCACTGAGAAAAGTTCTTTTTTCGATTACAACTAGCTCCGAAGCATGTTTTACAGGTTTCATCATTTGCCATACATTTCTCTTTTTCGATTTCTTTCAATTCAACAACGCAACCGCGTACGACTTTTGAATCTGAAAACAACTTGACAATTTTTGATAGAAATGAGACGAAACTATAGTTGTTTGGCAATTTTACCTGTAATCATGTGAAAGCAACCTAAATCTCTCTCCGCATACGGACACATCTCAACCATTGTGTCATTTAATTCACTTGCGCAGTTTGGATCAATCGTTGAATCGCATTTAAAGCAATATCTTTCTCTTGAATTCATTTCTTTGTTGTCTCCGTTTCGCTCGATGTCAGAATGGAATTCATTAAAATTGAGATCAGTGTTAACAATCGGAGTTCGATTGCAATCGGTTTGGTTACATGT